AGTTTGCACACCATACGGTTGCTCGCATTTCTTCGCCAGCGTCAATCGGCTTAGAGAAAATGGGTGTACAGGTGTGTCCTTATGTCAAACATGAATAACTGGACCGATCGCGTTTTACATATTTGTAGGTTTTCTATGAAACCTCTCTGTAAACTATTTACTCACACGAGATGCACAAATTCGCATGATCTCATTAGTATGCGATACGGTACTCTTCTGACATCACGCCACTGCTCAGATTGTTTTTGCTCGTGTTGTCACACGGTGTCCCATGAAGAAATATCCAGCTCGATCCGGAACGTCAGAATTTTGTTTAATAAGACTTTTTTGCAGAGTAAACCCTTTGGAGACGAAGAACTGAGCTTTCTGTCATAAGTATTTTAGCATTATTGGAATGTCCAGTTGGTAGTTTTACGGAAAACATTGCAGAAATGGTTTACTGATACATTAATATAATGACCTATATAGTTTATTGGGTATCGGTCTGTCTTAGGATAGACCGGATCATTATATTGCATTGTATAGTAATAAGCCGCATTTTTGTCTGCTTTTCATTACAACGCGGTTTATCATCACCTAGACCTGCCGCAGCACTTTGTTGTCACACTGCATGGATTGTTGCCATCCGCTTGTAGAGCTGAGGATGGCTTGGAGAATTTCGTACAGACGGCCCTTCCAATTCTGTTCAGATTTTTATTGAAGTTCCCTCTTCAAGATTTTAGCGAACCGCCTCAAATTGCAAGACAGCGGTGAAGCTGCAGACCGCTTTCGTCTCGTCATGAGACTCTCATTAGGTATTTTGACTTTTTCCTCTGAGAATTGAACTTGCTAAGGCCGAACCCAGCCATGCCCTAGTGGTCGCATCCATGTCTGTCCGCGACTGCTTATTGGAAGCAGCTGACTTCCATCTGAGACCCCTTTCCCCATCTGCTACCCACGGGATGCGCTAGATGGCTAGCAACTGGGCACACTGGGCAGTTTCGTATACTGTACAGTGTATACTGAAAGGTGCTATAGTGTATTCTGCTTATGGTAAATGTGTATGGTATTATCCATTTTAATGTACGTACTTTAGAATTGTACTCTGTGGTGTGATATGCCGCTTTACGTATCGTATACGACATAAATTTAATGCACTGTGGTAAAGCACTGTATACTACGTGGTATATGATGTTCTGTACGTGTGGTAGAACAATGTAGCAACGTATATTTCACCATACGAAGGAGGATACGTTCTGTTGCTCTATACTAAAGCAAACGATCTTCATTATTCTATCATAGGTATAAAGTACCACATAAACTAAAGTACATCGTGCAGTACTGAGAAGTACTATTGTGTATTCCACGTCGCATTGAGACGTACAGCGTTGGTATAAGATACTTCACCCGGTGCATCGTTTTAAACTAAAAGATAGTTCTTAAGTATTCTGCAGACGACTATACTTATACTATTTCAGCATAAGCACAGTGCACGATAGTTTCTCTTAACTATGGTAAGATCCACTGTAGTATATATGGCGTGCTACACTGTAATAGTACAATATCCTATACTCTAGACGATACGAGGAGAGTTTCTTATGGTATCGTATACTGCAGCATAAGTTCTATGCGTTTCTGTTCTATTTTATCATGGGCATAGTACACGATGCTATTTTTTAGCAAAATACAATATATTGCAGTATATATGGTGTGCTGTAATGTGATGGAATAGTGCAACATCGTATACTGTAGAATTCGAAGATAGTTTCTTGTAACATCGTCTACTAGTGTATAAGCTGATAGGCTATTTTATGTTAAAAATAATGCATTATAATACATCTTAGTGCAGCACGATCTTTTGCATATGTTCTGCCATACTTATGGCTGGATAGTATAGTATAATATGCAGTAGTGAACGATACTTAAGAATCGTACATCATACGAATCTAGAAGATACCATTCTTAGGTATCCATTACGTGAAACGTATCATGGTATACTATTCTATTTCAAATATACCTTTCTGGTACTTCGTGGTATAGTGCGACACACTAGTATATATGGTTTACTTACGTATGACAGAATATTATAGCATCGTTTGGTAGGATACGATACTTCTGGAAGAGTATAGTTAAAGCTGATACACGCTTGGACGTCCTAATGACGAAGTTGTATGCTCGTCAATGGAAGCTAAGGGCACAAGGCTGATGAAAATAAGTCAGATAGAAGGATGCGAGCATTTTAGTCAGTGTCTGAAGACGTTTTTTCGATTCGAAACTACTCTGTACTTTTGCACTCATGCAGTGCACGGTTGCCTGCTTGAAACTTCCCCTTGATCGTTGCAAGATGGGTCACGTGTCATTTACATCCGTTGAAATGACACGTGAATGTATAATACTGATATTTTACAGCACACTGCAGTACCTTATATTGTCATGTATTATAGTGCATCCCGCTATTATACTTGTAGCGCAGTACTGTGTTATTTATTATTGTATAAAGTCATATACAAGAGTGTGCATGTCATATTATGGTATACGGTACTACATCATACCACAAATAGAATGGTGTTGTACGCCACAGTATCACTTAGTGCAGTACGGCATCAAGACTCTGGCGCATCATGCTTTACAGTACTAAGCGGCATGTAGTGTGCCATGGTGTGGTAGTTTGTAATATTATATAGTTTCGTTTCATGCGCTATAGACTTCTATATAGGAGTCTACATACTGTTGTATACCACGTAATACTTAATCATACTACGAAATATTGCATACGTCGTGGTGTTCCACTGTGTAGCTTATAGAAGCACAATGTGCTTGAGTCTGCATGCTATACTGCACTTAGCGATATTGTAGTGTACCATACAATTCTCTTTGTAGGACGAGACAGTATTGCTTAATATAATGTCATGTATGATGTTGTATATGATTTTATCTATGCTAGACAGTACTTCACCGTGCTAGAGAATTAAATGGTATTGACACTTCTTAGTATAGTATGACATGATTTAACTTAGAGTATAAATACAATGCTATACTGATTGATACTATGAAGCATTGTTGTGATATAGTATATTCGTATAATAGATTGTACAATGTGTTGTATTGTTACAGTGTTTAGTATGGCATCATGATCAGTGATCAGTGCGAAGTATCATGCACAAGAGTATTACTTCATTATGGTATACTCTACTGAGTAAGGTATATTATGTTATTGAATATTTGCATAGTGCATTGTACTGGTGTTCGGCATAGTATACCGTGACTTATTGGTGTCAGGAGTACACGCTGCTATACTTATTTATAGTTATAATAGTAGTATTATAGTATTCTTTAGTATAGCACGATATTCTGTAGTATAGAAGGTTTATCATATTGAATGAAGGTATTATATATATATAATTTTTACAACCCAAGTATGATGGTATAGTTGTTTTGAGAATGATATTGCATATTATAATCTAGTATGCCGAATTTTAGTTATACTGTACTATAATATTGCGCTGTGTGATACTCTTCGCTATTGTACATTTGTTGGGATCATAACCCTGAGGCATTGTCATTCGTAGTTTGTGATATCCGACGTATCCGTATACAGTGCGTGATATTATGTCATATTTTATCGTAAAATAATATAAACGTACCTGACAGAGCTTTAAAATGGTTCTGGTATCACTGATGTGTCAGTGTTTGGGTTGTTGTATGAATAGTTACCCCAGTATCAGGGATTGTCCTTATTCTACAGTTGCAGTTGCAAAGCCTTTCTGAAACTTTCGGAAGTAGATGTTTAGACTTCGTGATATTAGAATTACCACTAACTCTATAACGACTCACTTGAACAGATGATCGATCAAATACAAAAGGGTGGAAGCGAAAATACAATAACGAACAGGAACCAACCGTGTTACCAATAGATTAGTACTACAGTATGTGACAACAGTGATGACGGTAGCATGAACGGTGTGTTCTCTTCGTCAGGGAGTGACTTGCGTGTCGCATAAATTTGCAGTGTAGCACAAATTGATCATGTTTCACATTAATATGGCCAGTGTCATTCGCGTGTACATGCGATTTTAGTGTAAATTGGATAAAGTACGTATTTTAGGGAAGAAATGTGGCGATTTTTTATGGTTCCCAAACAGGTACCGCGGAAGATCTCGCTTACCGATTGGTGAGAGACGCAACACGCTATGGCATGAAGGCAATTGCTATTGATCCCGAAGACTGTGATTTTGTAATCATCCATTTTCACAAATATTTCATATTTTGTTTTTTTGTATACTTGATTAACAGTAACCTTTTCGAATGGCTTAGACATACGATTGCTTTGAATTTGTCTGCAGAGTATCCGGAGTATTCATATATTCTGGTATTTGCCTGCAGTTATAGCTGTTAACTGGAAGAATCGATGAAGAATTATGCCAGTCAATAAGCTGCTCACTGGAAAGTCAGAAGTGAACATGGCGCTGGCATCAGTTATGGCTTAAAATGCAGCGGCTTCAACTTTTAATACGAATGTTTTAAATTCTGAGTTTTACCTGGGTGGGCCACTCTTTCTTTCCTTTTTCACTCTTTCCCACATTATCATTTACTCATTCGTTCACTCGATCTCTCATTGACTTACTCATTCATTCGTTTGTTCATTCATCCATTCACCCTTTCGTTCATTCACCAATTGATTCGTCAGTTTTTTCATTCATTAATTCTGTTCATTTATTGATTCTTCATGCATGCATTTGTCCATCGATTAATTCTTCATGAGTTCATTCGTTTTAAGTGCAAGAATAATTTTCGATAGTTAATGTCCACCGGCAAACTGAAATTTCGCTATTTTGTCAATGCGATGCCTGCTGTACAGGAAACGTATGCCTTAGACTGGTGTAGTTGAAGCAGGGACAAATATTTAATTCGTAATTCTGCTAGTTAGTAGTGATGCGTCGCCATCGTTTAGGCTCTTAATAACATGAGGTGTGCATCACATTGAAGATTTGTACAAATGCATGGAGCCATGGCGATCCTAAATGGTCGTGTTGGCTGATAAAAGCTGTGGAAACCTTGTGAGACTCACTTTGGAGGATTTATTCACTTAATAGGCTTTTCCATATTTCAGAAAAAAAGTGTTGATATAAACTTTTTATTTGAGGACGAATTTCATGAGCTGGCCAAGCTTCCGAACAACCTGGCCATATTCTGCATGGCGACGTACGGGGACGGTGACCCGACCGACAACGCCGTTGATTTCAAGGAGTTTTTGAAGAGGCGCGACGTCGATTTGTCCGGTTTGCACTACGCCGTGAGTCACTCTTCAACGTGTTGCATGTTATATCGTTGATGTGCAGGTGTTTGGCCTCGGAAACAAAACGTACGAACACTTTAACGCGATGGGTAAACTGACCGATAAGCGTCTCGCTGCAATGAAGGCACACTGCGTGTGTCCGTTAGGTCTGGGCGACGATGATGGAAAGTATGTGATTGCTTTAGTTTTAGTTTTATCCAGTGTCGTCTTCTGACCAGAGGAGGACGTGGTAACACCTTTTCCATCATGTACTCGGTGTCCTTATTCTTAATTTGTCCATCGCTTAAGCTTTGTCA